CGTACCTTCCTCAGGCACCCACTACTCCCTGCATCCTCCCAGGCACCCACAAACCACTATCCCCTGTCTCCTGTTCTCCCAGGTATTGCCATTTTAGCTGGCTGGGCTATGTCTCTTCAGTTTCCCATATTGGTGGGACAGGAGGGGTGCACGTGGAATATAAATCTCCTCCAGGGGTGGAGAGGCACACAGCAAAAAAAAAGTTTTGGAATCTTTGGTTTAGAGGGGAGCCATGATAAATCTTCAAATATGTACAAAGTTGTTATAAAGAGGCTGGTCATCAGTTGTTCACCAAACATATAGAACAAAGGTAATTTGCTTAGTTTGCAGCAAAGATTATTTAGATTATATTAGGAAAATCTTTCCATCTGTAAGGACAGTTAAGCACTAGAACAGATTACCTGGAGAGGTTGTAGAATCCCCATCACTGGAGGTTTTTAAGAACAGGTTAGACACCATCTTCTCAGGGATGGTCTAATATTTCTGCCTTCACAGACTAGATGACCTCTTGAGGTCCATTCCAGTATCCTATTTCTATGATTCTAGGCTTGCAGGATCAGGGTTGAAATAAGACCCCAGACATGTCTTTTTCTGCATGGAAGAGCATTGCAAGTATGAAACTGCTTAGTAGAAAAAAAAACTTTCTCGGACAAAAGCATAAAAGGATCTAATAGTTGAAAATTGAAGGCTGACAAATTCTAGTCGAATATGGGGTGCAAATTTTAACAGGGTAATTTGTTTACCAAGGTACGTGCTGGATTCTCAATCATATGGACTCTAAATCAAGATTTGATGTTTTTCTACAAGATATAGGCTCTAGCTCAACCAGAAATTATGGACTCATTGCATGAATTACTGGGTAAAATTTTATGACCTAGTTTTTGCTGTGGCTGCTCTTTCAATTTCTTAATTAAAGAGTGATCATCATAGTTTCTAGTAACAAATACATGTCTTAAAACTAGCATAAAATATAATCAAAAATAGGATCTGCTCTTACTATCCAACTGTTTGGCTGATTATATTTAGATTTTTTTTTTCTAATCTTCTTTTTACCTGCTCTCCAACTTCTGCTATATAAACATTAGGCTTCTATAAAACATTAGATTTTTGTGCAAGAATCTGAAAACAAAAAAAATCAGAACTCATTCTGCTCTCCTCTGGCCTGTTGTTCCAAAGCCCAAGATTCCTTGTCTCTGGATCCTGAACTTTCCACCGTTGGCACAGATAGTTTCTGTGCTCAGTTCTTGGCTTCTGACCCAGCTGCTTTGTGCTGTTTAGACACCACAGAGCAACTAGAAATCTGTTTTAAAGGGACAGAGAGAAACTGGATGAGGTAATATCTTTTACTTAACAAATTACTGTTGGTGAGAGAAACAAGCTTTCAAGCGACACACAGCTCTTCTTCAGGGGCAGCTCAGAAATTCCTTTGATAGAGTGGAATACTCAGCTGGCATAAAACTAGCATAGATTGTTCTATGCCATGCACTCTCCCCACCCATAGTGGGTGAGGAGGGTCAGGTCCAAACAGAGGGTGAGGCAGAGCACATAATTCTCCTCCCAATCCTCAGCAGCACAGGATTCCTAGAGCAGCTGTTAGACTGGCCTAAATTATGCTGGGCTCATGCTTTCCTCTCCACTCCTCTCAGCAATACTGAACGTACACTTGGTTAAGTCAAGGATTGAGCACTCTGAGTTTTCTGTGAGGTTCATGAAGGGAGAGGCAGTCTTTCAGGTAGCCTGTTCACTGGCTGCTACAGACCTTAAAGATCAGGACCAGGACCTTGAATTGGATCCAGTACTGAATACACTCCAATCTGAGCATGGTGTGCTTTGCACATGCACCAAGTGTGCCTGTTCTCATCTCGGTATCATCATTGGTTGTTTGGTACATAGACTAAATATGCCTGTTGTGGGCTCTCCACCCTGGTCTTGGCACTGTGTGCCTATGCCAAGCCCTGCCCATGCCTGATCCAGACCCAGTGTGTGAGACCTATTGTCTATCCCAGCAAATAACTAATTTGGCCTGACTGGGACTCTTGAGCTGGCCTCTCTGGTACCATTTTTAATGTGGCAAATAGCCCTTCCATGTCATTCCAGTCTAACACAGTTATACATGGCTTCATATCCCAGACACAATGCAGCCCATCCAAATTGTCATAGGGTGGGACTTGAATAGATATATAGATGGCTTTGGAGATACATCCATGGGTTGCTGAACTTCCTCAAATTGCACACACTACTCACACTGCCACACTGTGGCCCCAGATGCCAAGCAAAAGTTGGGTTAAAAGTACTAATGTACACAGGATGGAAAACTCCAGAGAAAAGGATTTGAACTCTGTCTTAGCATACAATAAGCCTCTAATCCACTGCATTGTTCAGAGAGTAGTGCTCACCAAGGAGTTTCTGAGGAAGCAATAACTCTCACAGATGTAAACTGTATGTAAGCAAAGGTTCTAAAGCTTTTAGTGTGCAATAATTTTTGAAATAGTTCTAGATTGGTTCTTGGTAGCATTCAATAGCTAATGTCAGGGGTAGCCCATTCTATAAATGGGTCAGACCCTTAGATTTTCTATAGCTTTGCATCTAAAATGTTATAAGCATCTCATTTTAGGGAGGGCTGTGTCTCAGGAATCCCCTAACCAAATGATCCCACATTTGCACCACAAACTCTATTCCAGTCCCTGTTGTGGCATACCAAATTGCAAGACAACCTGCATATACATTTTAGAATAATTTGAATATTAAAAGCAGCTCTTGATGCGGGGGCATTACCTGAAGAATTACTGGATCAAAGGACTACAAACTTGAACCATACTCTGACCTGGCCTAACAATTTTCAAAACATATGAGTATGTATAATTATATTAGACTGCTTTGAAATACTGACACTTTTATCCAGAAAGTTTGGTTTTGGAGCAACAGTTTTAAAGGGAGCCCATTTACACAGCCCCTACCTCTCTGGAGCAGAACACAGGAAGAATAGTAGTTAACATACATTCTCAGAAAGCTACTGAGGGCAGGACTTAATCTTCCAGTACATGGGTGTGGCTCAAGTTCAATGGCCACAGTAGGTCACCTTGAACCAACCAGTAACTCTGATAGCATGCTGTCTGCAAGCACTCTGGCTTGCTACAGGGTCTCAGTCCAGACGCTCTGGCACAGTGTCAAAGCGTGATCCACACTGTAGGTCCAATCTTTTCCCTGAAAAACTTTTAAAATATTTTTTCCTTAAAAGGGCTGTGGGTGCCAGCTACTAACTGAAATCAAATCCAACTAGGTATTATTGGTGCGAGGAAAAATCAGAGCCATGGTTAGAGCTCCAGATTTGTGCAAAAAAGTGATAATTGTAAAAAATTGATGTTAATGATGGTGATATAGCATTCAGGCCTGTATATTTGCCTGAGATGGAATTTGGGGTTTTGTTTACCCATTTGACTTTTGATATTCTTATATCCTTACTGATGTGTGAACAAAGACAGGGTGTGTTGCTTCTGCCTAGCCAAATGCGGTTTTTAGGATAATGAGAAAAAATGAGGACTAGAGTCAAAGTGTTGCTGGATATGGTGGGACTTTGATATATGAATGTACAACTCCTTTCCCGAGATAAGGTCAAGCAACCAGTTGGGAAGGATGAGGGGGATGGGGGTGGGGGGAGAAACACTAAAAAACAAGAAAAAGGTGGCCTTGGCCAGGACACAACCTCACTCCCTAATCCTCCCATGGGGTACAAAAGAGGTGGTATCAAAGCCCCCAGACTCATGACCACCCAAAACAGAACATGACTATAAATTTTAAGGGGTGGTGCTAAGGACATGCACTCAAGGTATAATTGAGCCTGCTAAGAAAGAGGAGGGGAAACGGGAGAAAGCTCTGCTGGTGTACAGAACAGTGGATATGCTTACTTGGTAACCCAATAAACATCATATTGCCTTCGGACTCTGGTCTTTTGCTTTCTGTCTGCATAACAAGAACCAAGGGAGGGCTACTGGGAACCCTAACAATTGATATCATATTTTCTGGGAGCTGTATCTCAGGAACCTCTTGTTCAAATGACCTCACATTTGGACCACTATCCTGAAATCAAGGAGATATAGTAAATTACAAGGCAATCTGAGTATGCATGTGGATTTTGGAGCACTTAGAAAAATTGGCTGTTAAACAGTAAACTATTCTCAACTTTAACTCTAGAGGTGCTACATACACCCCACTATCATAATTTGTATTTATTCTGACATCATAGATATACCGCAAACCAGGCCAAAGCTAATGAAGACCTCTAAGCTGTAAACCCCTGAAGATGTGTTATATACTGGCAACAGTAGTTTTCCCTCTGCCACTCTCAGAATCATGCCCTTGAAGTGCAGTTTGTTGGATCACTTTGTGTTCAAAAATAAATATATTTTCATATGTAGTATGTAACAATTAATGTGAAATTAAACTATGTTTATAGTATTTTAGGAACAGTGAAATCTGTCTGTCCCCTTACTAGATAACTTATTATCTTAAGAGACTGCCTCAAAATATCTGAGTACATATTGGCATCACTTTTATTTGAAAACCACCTCCATCAAGCAAGTGATTATCAGTCTCTTGAGTGTTTGCTTAATACAGGTTACTGTGTATATGTTACTGCAAGATGTGTGTTAAGTAAGAAATTGCATTTATATTATTTCTAATATACCATGTATTTTAATATGAAAAACAGAAAATTTTTGTACTGTTATCTATAAGCACTATATCTGATCAAGCATGGGTTCCAAAAGACAAAATATTTGTCTTGATATTACCAATATACCCAAAATAGATATACTTAGAAAGCTAAATGAAATGATTATTTCACAAGCTATGAACATGGAAATGAACACAGAATTTGTGTAGAAATTGACAATATTACTGCAATATGGACTGTAATATTCAGTATACACAAGCTTCACCAGATGATAACAGAGGCTGACTTCTGTTCCTTCTGTTCCCCAAATAAATAATTAAAAACATACCTCCTCCATGGCTCTGGCAGAGATAAGGAAATCGCCATACATTTCCTAATCCCACACAAAACCCTATACAGGTTAGCATGTACTGAGCCTTGTTATCCCATTTTGGTCTCGTATCAGCCTCTTCTTTCTCAATGGTTTCAAGTTCTGAGTGGGAAGGTATCCTATTGTCCAGGCCTGGGTTGGGCAGCTGAAGCTTCACCATTTTGGCTGAAATTACTGCCCTAGAAAAGATTTAAGGGAACAAGTAGCTGGTTATAGGGTTTGGACAAAATGGGAGTGTTTAATGATAGCTTCGGCTATATATAGTGAACCTTTGGCACTAAACTTGAAAGTGCAGACGAGTGACAAAAAGAAGCGTCAGCAAATCATTTCATTAACCAAGTCAGCTCTGGTACTTATTAATGCCTTATCTGCCAAGGCTCCATTGAACACTTTGTTCTGTTAGTACAAAACATCATTACCAGTTACTGTCATTCAAGGGGTAATTTGCCCTAAAAATTCTAATCACCTAACAGATTGTGAAATACTCCTTGCCACTCCTCCTATGTAAACTCAGTTGTAATATACATTTAGCACTATCAGTTAGAGTAAAATGATTCCAGCAGATTCAGAGCTAATAAGCGGGTTCCAGACTTCTTCCAGAAGAATAAATTTTATGGAAGTCTGTGTCATGCATAAGTTCCTATAGAACATTTATAAAACCTTATTTTTACCTCTAAATCCCAGTAAGGGGGATTTTTACTGATACATTTACCTCTTATTTGGCTGGATAATATCACTGAACAATGTGACCAGAAAGGAAGGAGCTGCACAGTGATTTTAAAACCCATAGCCTTCAGGTTCATAAGTGTTTACATCTAATCATCACAAGATAAAGTCTCAAGAAAGGAGATGCCTTTTTATTAATAGGCTTAAAGTCAATAATGATTCCTTAGCCTTATTTATGATTCTATAGTAGATTGTTCAACATTAAAAAAGAAACACTTGCCAACAAGTATGGCAGTTGCCACTGTTTTTTCATATTCTCTTTGAGTGAAACTGTGGTATCCCAGTTACTATTGTGGGTAACAAATGCTATTTCTAATGACAAACACTATTGTATACTAATATAAAGTTAACACACTGTACATATATGTTAAGTAAATTTTGCATTTTATCTTGTCCACAGATTCGTTATGATAGCTTTTCAGGCTATCGGTCAATTGCGAGAAGGAAGTGATATGCCCCAGCCCTTAAGAACCCAGCTAGTTTTCATTCAGCTCCCCCCTTCCTGCTGGTCCTTGGAGGGACCATGTTACTTGTTCTCCCCTAATGCCTGGGCTTCGGGAGCTGCCAATCTAGCCCTACTCTTCTCACTGCCTTGGCTCACCTCTCAGTGCCAGCCTCTCACATTCTCCCTCTTTACTCCACCAGAGGTTCCTGTCTCCCACCTACCCTCTGCACTCACCCCTGCTCCCTTCCCCTGGACAGTCCTATTCCTTCTCCCTTGCCTCTCTCAGCTCCCCTTCTGCACCCACATTCTCTTTCATTCTCCTTTCTCATCCCACACCCAAGTTCCCCAATCCCCCCTTTATTTATCAGCTTTCCTCCACATTCCTCAGCACACCCCTCAGTCTTCCTCCTGCCCTGCAGAACCCCTATGACTGTGCTACTTCTTCATATTCTCCAATTCCCTCTTTGATAACCTTTTCCTGCCTGGCCCCTCCATCCACTGCACATCCTCCTTGCTCCCTTCTGAACCCTCATATGATATCATGTTTTATATGTCTGTATTTTTGGTTACATAATGTGATATTATTAAAATGTAAGTAACAAGAGACATTTGCAGTATATTAAGTGTAGCACATTTTTTCCATTGCTATGTACAGGAATGATAAGCAAAGTCTGGCTGTAATTAGTTTCCTAAGCTGCTACTCGGTTCAACAGATGGTGGTGAAAAGGACTTTTGATGGGATACAAGTAACAGAATCAAAATAATAACAACATGTAATCTCTTTAAAAGGAATGTGAAACTTTAAGGGCATGCGTGGAGTCTTTGTATTAATGCATTTTGATACATTTGTGTTTTTAATGAGGCATGGGGGGCCCAAATGTTCTTGGTGTCCAGGTTCCCAATAAATCTTAATCTGCCTCTGGACAGAGGTCTACCCCAACTCCTCTCCATTCCTCAAAGTATATGGACAAAGATTTTTGTATCTGTGGATCTTTTAAGACAAGGTTTGTCCATAGGCAGATGGGGAGGTGGTATGGGAGGGCATTGCCCCCCAAACTGCAAGCATCACGCAGGCAGCCCAAGCATGCAATGTAATGAGTTCTGCAGAGGAGACAGGAGACTGCTGCTCCCAGCTTGCGCCCCTGAGGCAGGGAGTCAGAATTTTGTTTATAAACAGATGATTAGCAGGTGATTAAGATAAGAATGGGATGTTTCCTAAAGTTAAATGATCTGTTCCAAACATGGTGAACTGCAAAAAGTAAGTAGCCTAAATGGTAGAAAGTAATTGTAGATTACTTAACATTTTATTACTGACCTTGGCATAAAAAGTGGGAGTGTGCTAATAAAATTTGCAGATGACACAAAGTTGGGAGGTATTGTCAATATGGAGGAGGACCAGAATATCATACAAGATGATCTGGATGACCTTGTAAACTGGAGTAATAGAAATGGGATGAAATTTAATAGGGCAAAGTGCAAGGTTTATGTCAAAAGTGTTAGGGATTAACAACAAGAATTTTTGCTATAAATTGGGGTCTTATCAGTTGGAAATGACAGAGGAGGAGAAAGACATGGGTGTATTGGTTGATCACAGGATGACTATGATGCGACCATGAAAAAGGCTAACACAGTTCTGGGGTGCATTAGGTGAGGTATTTCCAGTAGAGACAAGGAAGTGTTAGTACAAGGCACTGGTGAGACCTCATTTGGAGTACTGAGTGCAATTCTGTTGTCCCATGTTTTGAAAGATGAATTCAAACTGGAACAGATGCACAGAAAGGCTACTAGGATGATCTGAGGCATGGAAAAGCTACCTTATGAGAGGATACTCAAAGAGCTTGGCTTGTTTAGCCTAACCAAAAGAAGGCTGAGGAGAGAATCATAGAAGATTAGGGTTGGAAGAGACCTCAGGTGGTCATCTAGTTAACCCCCTGCTCAAAGCAGGACTTAAAAATCTCTAAGGATGGAGATTCCACCATCTCCCTAGGTAACCCCTTCCAGTGCTTCACCACCCTCCTAGTGAAATAGTGTTTCCTAATATCCAACCTAGACCTCCTCCACTGCAACTTGAGACATTGCTCCTTGTTCTGTCATCTGCCACCACTGAGAACAGCCTAGCTCCATCCTCTTTGGAACCCCCCTTCAGGTAGTTGAAGGCTGCTATCAAATCCCCCCTCACTCTTCTCTTTTGCAGACTCTTTTGCCCAGTTCCCCCAGCCTCTCCTCATAAGTCATGTGCCCCAGCCCCCTTATCATTTTCGTTGCCCTCCGCTGGACTCTCTCCAATTTGTCCACATCCTTTCTGTAGCAGGGAGCCCAAAACTGGATGCAATACTCCAGATGTGGCCTAACCAGTGCTGAATAGAGGGGAATAATACTTCCCTCAATCTGCTGGCAATGCTCCTACTAATGCAGCCCAATATGCCATTAGCCTTCTTGGCAAAAAGGGCACACTCTTGACTCATATCCAGCTTCTTGTCCACTATAATCCCCAGGTCCTTTTCTGCAGAACTGCCACTTAGCCAGTCGGTCCCCAGCCTGTAGCAGTGCATGAGATTCTTCCATCCTAAATGCAGGACTCTGCACTTGTCCTTGTTGAACCTCATCAGATTTCATTTGGCCCAATCCTCCAATTTATCTAGGTCACCCTGGACCCTATCCCTACTCTCCAGCATTTCTACCTCTCCCCACAGTTTAGTGTAATCCGCGGATTTAGGGTGCAATCCATCCCATTATCCAGATTATTAATGAAGATGTGGAACAAAAATGGCCCCAGGACCGACTCCTGGGGTACTCCACTTGATCCCGGCTGCCAATTAGACATCGAGCCATTGATCACTACCCACTGAGCCTGACAATCTAGCCAGCTTTCTATCCACCTTATAGTCCATTCATCCAATCCATACATCTTTAACTTGCTCGCAATAATACTGTGGGAGACTGTATCAAAAGCTTTGCTAAAGTCAAGGCATATCATGTCCACCGCTTTCCCCATATCCAGAGAGCCAGTTATGATGAGTCATAGGGTGCTTTGCTGCAAAGGAAACCCAAGAAAGGAGGACCATGAGGAGCCTAAGGGCTAAACACACTAAAGAAGTGGAAAGTAAGTCACAGAGACTGTCTGAGTTGGAGATTGAGCTGTCTGATTGCACTGTCCTGACTGTCCATGATCCATGATTTCAAAAGGGCAAACTTTAAAATAATAAGGAAATTAATTAGGAAAGTGGACTGGACTGAAGAACTCAAGGATTTGAACGTGGAGGAGGCTTAGAATTAGTTTAAGTCAAAGTTGCAGAAACTATCTGAAGCCTGCATCTCAAGCAAGGGGAAAAATCATAGGGAAGGGTTGCAGACCACGCTGGATGAGCAAGCATCTCAAACAGGTTATTAAGAGAAAGCAGAAAACCCTACAGGGAATGGAAGATTGAATGGATCTGAAAGGAAAGCTACCTATTGGAGGTCAGAAAATGTAGGGGGAAAGTGAGAACTGCTAAAAGCGAAGCAGAGTTGGACCCTGGGAAGGAAATTAAAACCAATAGTAAAGCCATATAAATTTATTTATAGCCATATAAATAAAAAGAAAACAAGGACATAACAAGTGAGACTGCTAAACTAGGCATGTCCCAAAGAAATACTTTGCCTCAATTTTTAATAAGTGTATTGAGGAGCTTAGGGGTAGTTGCAGGGTAGCTAATGGAAATGAGGATATGGAAGTAGAAATTACCACATAGGAGGTGGAAGTGAAACTCAAACAGCTTAATGGGACCAAATTGTGGGGCCTGGATAATCTCCATCCATGAATATTAAAGGACCTGGCACATGAGATTGCAAGACCAATAGCAAGGATTTCTAGTTAATCTATAAACTCAGGGTTCATACCCTATGACTGGAGAATTGTTAATATAGTTACTATTTTTAAGAAAGGGGAAAAATGTGATTTGAGAAACTAGAGGTCCTTTAGTTTGAACTCAGTTGTATGCAAAGTCTTG